TACACTATTTCACTCTTGACTCCAATCAATAAATGGTGTAATTAATAAATAATTAATTTGCAGTTTTATGCCATTAATTCTAAAATCAATTCCAAATAAATAGTGAAAGTATAGCCAAAGTAAATACAGTATATTTTGGTGATCATTACATCAATGCTATTTTAAATCTCCCAAATACAAAGTCTACTAAATATTTTACATTAATTCTTTATCCATGAGTTAAACAAAATCAAAGTTAATGAATAATAAATGGCAACTGACCGGCACTACTGCCACTGGAGCTGTCGTATAGTTTGGGTACTTTTAAGCAATTATTTTCTCCCTTCAATTCGTGTTTTTTGGAGCCTTTGTCCGACTTTTGTTGATTTCTTGAGTTATGAAACTGTATTAACCGGAACTCAATCGGAGGCAATGAATTCTGCACATAACAGTAAATATAAATTAATTGCTTTTTAAATTTAAATAAACTCTTGTTGCTAATGATGGAAACTTGCTTGAACACTTAAGAGACACTTGAAAAAATAGACTCAAGTTTTCAAGTTTCCATTGAAAGTCACAAGAATTTACAAGAATTGAGAAATTCATTTTAATTAAATGTTTTTATTCACATAAGAATGAAATAGTGTTTAAAATCAATAAAAAATGATTACTTTATCTGTGGAAGGGTAGGGAACTGGTCCACTCTGTTGTCTGTATATCTGATACTGCGATACCACGCATATTATGCCATAAAACTGTAGCATAAAAATGGCATCAAATAAGTAACATTGAGATTGTGTACAGTAATTGCAAATTCTATTGTTTTGCACTTACATTGAATCCACACATAATTATGTCAACAACTAATACAATCAATGTATGGCTTTCCTCTTTCTTAATTTGTTGCACACTTTTTCGATACTATATGTAAAAATACAAATAAATACAAATTATGACTATAATAAATGTGATAATAAATACATACTGTTTCGCAAAGCCATAGAATCGTATAGAGAATATCAAATAAAGTTGTCGTCAGTATTATTATAATCCACGG